GGAGTGGGTGTTAAGTGTTCTGACTGTGAAAATGGTAACATGTGAATTAATACTTGTTAGCTAGATTTAGTCATTCCACACTGTAAGTAGCTTCAAAAGAATATACTGTGCATGGCAAATACACATAATTTTGTCACTTTTTAAAATAAATTAGAACGGGGCCTGGTGGCACACGCTTATAGTCCTAGTATTCTAGGAGGCTGAGGCAGCAGGATCACAAGTTCAAGTCCAGCCTGGGCAACTTAGTTAACGAGACCCAGTCTCAAAATGAAAATTCGTAAATAAATTAAAAAGGCTAGGGAGGTAGCTCAGTGTAAAGGCCCTGGGTCCAATCCCCAGTACTTCAGAAATAAATGAGAAGGAGGAAAATGGAAGGAAGGGCTTCCTGGAGCCCCCAAACCCCACTCTACTTTCTCCCCTTGTGGCGGAATCTGCCCCCCTCCCGCACACGAGGAGCCTGTGATTGCGCTCAGGGCCCAGCAGATAATCCAGGATAATCCCCCGTCTCAAAGCTTGTCTTAATCTCATCTGCAAGTTCTTTGCCATATAAGATAACATTTGCAGGTCCAGGGACCAACACCGGATACCCGTGGGGACCATTATTCCCCTCCTCAGGGAGGCCCCGGCTGGCGAGAAACCCACTGCTGAAAAACTGCTGAGGGAGTGGGTGTGAGCCCCAGCCCCACGCACCGCTGGCTGCACCTTTGCAGAAATGTTTATTTGTACTCTGTACCAATGTCATTATTTATGAAAGGGAGAGAATATTAAGCTTGATGGTTCCAGCGATGACTGAGTGAGATGTGCTCACTCAGGTGTGCTCACTCCGGCACCGGCCCGCAGGGGTCTGCAGATTCGGTCCCCCTTCTTCCCCTCTCTCTTCTTCACTTATTTCTTCTCTCTCCCCCCGGCCTGCCTCTTGGCCAAATCCCCCAGCAGCACTTGCTCCTGCTTCGCCTCCTCACTTGGCTGACCGTGCGGGACGTGGCAGACGTGGCTGTGGGAAAGGCTGGGACCTCCAGGGACCCAGGCCAGAGCCCGGCGTCCAGCCCTGGGCTGGCGGGGCCGGTGGGAGGTCGGCTTCCCCTCTGCAGCAGCTGCCTCAGAGCAACCCGATGGAGAGCCCATGCAAGGTGGACTGGCCAGCCTGTCCTCCACTTGCTGTGCCCCTTCCTTCCCGTATCTGAGGTGCAGAGGCTGAAATATCTGGGTGCCGGGATCCCAGAGTTCCTGAGTCCCCCCCCTTCTCAGAGTGAGAACTGTCGGCTCAGACCACGAAGAGGTCTGCACTTCTTGAGCCCCGAGAAGACACGAAAGCGTCACAGAGTTTGGGAGGGAGGCCAAGAAGGTGAGCTAACGGGGCGCCAGCAGGCGGCTCCTTGGCTCTAGGATGGGAGTGCTGCTTTCTGCCCTCAAATGAGGAAGAGAAAACTTGTAACTTTTAAAGCTCCATTTTAACCTCTCAGGTACAGGATGAGCAAAACCCCCTCCTTCCCGGGGACAAACAGGCCTGAGTCACAGAAGGCTGGGGACCAGGCCTTGCAGGAGGACACTGGTTCTTGTGTGTATGTGGTACGGAGGTTGAACCCAGGGCCTTCACACTAAGTCATAGCTCAGCCCTTTGCATTTTTGTTATTTGGAGACAGAGTCTTACTAAGTTGCCAGGTGAGACTAGGATTGGTGATCCTCCTGCCTCAGTCTCCCAAAGTGCTGGGATTACAGGCATGTGCCTCTGCGCCTGGTTGGGCCATGGGTGCTGTGGGCACAGGAGTGAGCCAGCTCTTGAGGCTAGGGTGGGCACCGCGACCCTGCCCAGTTCTGAGGTGAGAACCGCAGGCCCGGGCTGCTTTCCAGCCCTGGCCCCAGACCCTGCCCAGCGTGGGCGGGCGGGACACAGCGGCGGACGCTGGGGCACTCGAGCCAGCCCCGCGGTCTTGGAGGACGCGCAGGCTCGGGTCAGGGCCGGCGCGGGTCTAGCGTGCTCCAGGACGAGGCCGCACACCTGGACAAAAGCCCGGCCAACACCACAGCCACGTGCCACCCTGCGCAGGAGACCGGAGACCCAAGCCGGTGCGCCTGAAAACGTCCAAGACGAGGAACAGCAGCTAGACGTGGAGTGAAGCGGCTTCCTACTTTAAAGTGCATACTCACATCTGTGAGCTGAAGAAATGTCTTCATTTCTCCTGGGTGGGGCGCCTGTGATTGGCTCTAGGCCTCCAGGCTGGGTGCGGACCCGGTCGGGCACCACCAGCTGCAGTCACCGTGGGGCCAGGGTCACCCTGGGGTCCGCGTGGGTCGCCGTCCCAGCAGAGCTCCGGGTCCTGGAGGCTGTGGGGCGGCAGGACGAGGGCGGCAGGTGAGGCTGGAGCTCGGCTCTCAGGCGGGGACTCCGCACGCTCCCTCGGGGCGCAGGCAGCTCTGCTCTCCGAGCCAGGACCTTCCCGAGGAGGCGCAGGGGGTGAGGCGCAGGAAGGTGACCCCAAGCCTGTGCGCTGTTGCACCGGGACCTCACGTCACTCACCACGGTGCCCCCTGGGGACACGCTCACCCCACCCCAGCGCCGTGGCCCCACGTGGACTTCGAGGGCAGGAACCGCAGTCCCGCTGCGTGCTGGGGACGGACAGGGGACCGGACAGGGAGGGCAGGGGTGGACAGGGGTGGACAGAGATGGACAGGGGTGGACAGAGTATGGACAGGGGTGGATGGGGGGGACAGGGGTGGAGAGGGAGGGCAGGGGTGGACAGGGGTGGTCAAGAACGGACAGGGGTGGACGGGAGTGGACAGGGATGGACAGAGTATGGACAGGTAGGGCAGGGGTGGACAGGGGTGGACAGGGATGGTCAGGGGTGGACGGGGTGGACAGGGGTGGACAGGGGTGGTCAAGAACGGACAGGGGTGGACGGGAGTGGACAGGGATGGACAGAGTATGGACAGGGAGGGCAGGGGTGGACAGGG